AATACGAGAAAAAGAAAGGAGAGAGAATGATATTAATGTATATCTACGCCTAGAAAAATATATTCTACGCATCCGTTTTTTCTACGCATAGAAAATAGTCTACGTCTACGGTCTACGCATTTCATTATTTTTGACGGCTTCCCTAACTATAACATTTTTCCAAGAGTCATTGTGCGAGATTCACAACTGACGAAGCGCAAGACTATTATAGAGTTTGACGCTTAATTTTTATGCTTAAGAAAGCATTTTTGATGGAAAATACTATATTGATGATCTACTCACAGAGTAAGTAAAACCTTTCAAATGGGAAAGTAAGTCGAAAATACGAGTTTTTCTGAAACGGAAGGATTTTTCGAATTTCGAGATCTTTCGAGTATTTTCGACTTTTTCACTCGAAAATCGCAATTCGAAAAATTATAAATACATTCTCTTAATCAGCTTGAAATTCTTTATCGACTGGTGCATAACATGTCCCAAAAAGTTTGCCGAACTTTTGCATTACGCGCACCTTATAACCGTAACATTTTTCCTATGACTTTTCCATTATATACTCAAGAGCCATTGTGCGAGATTCACAACTGACGAAGCGCAAGACTATTACAGAGTTTGACGATATTCAATTTTAAATACTTTCGAGTTTTACCTATGTCCGTCTGAATGCAGACTGCACCCCTTTCCTGAAATCTATTTCAATCAGGCTGATAGTTTTACTGTAGGTACGAGGCACTATTCTCTAAATGTAACGTTTTGTTTTTGAAAAAAAAATGCTTTTTCACCGAGTTATAGAGATTCTCCCGCCAAAAACCGACGTTATAAAAGAGGGGGCCTCATTGGAATTTCATGGCACCTTAAGCGGCGCTGAGTTTTGCAAAAAGACACTTTTGTTTGGTTTTTAACGAAAACAAGCTTGTGAAAGAATGTGTTCAAGTTTCTGCAGCAGTTGTAATAACAAACTAGCGAGCCAGAAATGTGAATTATGAAATCAAGTTTTAGAAGAAACTGAGGGCGCAAGGTACTATTTCATTTTCTAAGATCCAACGTTGTTACAGAAAGCTGGTTAGGGAGCCAAAACGATTTATGTTGCTAGTGGAAAACGTATTTTTTGCTGTGGACAAGTACCGCTGATTTATTCTATATCACGTCGCTTAATGAAGACATTTATTTAACTGTTTATCCAACTAAACAGTAAAATTTCATAGAAGATAAATAACTGACTAACTCATTGTGTAAAAAGTACAAACCAGCAGTTTATTTTTTCGTTGAACAGAAACATCTTTGGTTTTTAAAATAATTCATTTAGCCATCCGAGTGAAAATTCGATGTGATATTTTACCCAACCAAATTAGATTCTTTTACTTTGGTGAATCCATTTCTTTGATTATGTTCAAATCGCAATCTACATTTTTGCTTTCACATACATTCTCTGCTACGCAAGATAAGTTATTGCAACGATTTTCAGTGAAAAATAACATTGTTTCGAAGCATGTGTTCTTCAATTATCGCATGAGTTACTTTTGCGTCTTTTCTTCATTTTACGAGACCGACCAAGTAGGAAGAGAGCATACATACATAACACTGTGTTGCTACACTTGTGATTTTATCGTGCACTATTTATGTTTATGATGCATCATTTAATATGAATATACACAGAGACGTCTTTCTATTTAGATAGTTCAGGAGAAATGCTGATTTTGGTAAAAAATTCTCAAAAGATATATAATGCATCAGTTTTAATGTGTATATAAATACTTGTATTTCATTGATCTATTACTTACTTCATTGATCTATTTATTTGTTCCACTATTTTGTCTTTCTTATTTGTTATTCATTTTGCATATTTTTTTTTGTGTGTTTATGTAGCATAATGATTATAGATCAGAACCAATGCTAACATAGAATGACTTGTCGAGTTGTTAGTATTAAAGTTCTGTAACTAATTTGAAATAAAATAGCTTAAACTAAATCAGCTTACGTTACTTTGGAGTATGCTAAAGACTTGTTATATATGTTATTTTTGCTAGTATTAGTGCATTCTTTTGTCGTTGCGCACCATGTCTTAAACAGAAATTTAAAAACAAGGTCGTTGAATATTATAATTCATGTTTTTTATAGAGCTAAATTACGAACCCAATGAAGTGCTAAATTTTACTATTCTAGGATAATTTGCAACAAACAGTCTTTTATTTTAGAATAATAATTTGAAAATACAAATTCTTCTTATGGCATCAGCATATACTGACTCAATGGGTTTTGCTGATCATCAGCCTTCATATCGTGAGATGCAACAAGAGTTGAAAAAGCGCAAAATAAACGCAGGTGGTACTAAAGAAGAATTAACGAAAAAATTCAAAAAAGCTTTGGGAGATGAACAGAAAGGTAAAGGTAATCGCAGTCATTTCTCGTATAATTACCGCAGATGAAATTGTCTCTTAACCGACGTCTCAGAGTGTGACTTAGTTAGGAATCGGATATAACGTTGAGCGCTAATTTTATCTGCATTTAATTTTATAATTAAGACTGCTTAGATTAGAATATTAGTCTTCTTTTTGAATATTTTTCTCAATACACTTTCGATTGCATCTAAACGATACACCCTATGAATTGAAAAAGTGTTTTTTCAATAACTCTTGTAGTCACTGAGTGACCGCCTTAATATGAAATATTTCTTCTACTTATTTTAGTAGAAAGTTTGACAAAACAAACAATACATCATCTTGGTGAAAAGCTCACTTATGTGGAGCAGAAGTAAGGTAACAACACGGCACTTAGTTGATCGTACTATTTATTCAGATGATTTTTGTATAATTGTCAATCACTGAAACTTAGCTAAAGCATTTCAGTTTACACTTTGATCTTAGTGTTTCGAAGTTAACTAAATATGATTCCTTTTCACATGCGCGAAAAAATAGATTGCCACTAAGTTTTTCTTTTCATTGAGACATCTGATTTAGTTCATCTACTATATTATAAACAGCACATACATAAATATATCGAATTTTCGACTGAGTATCGCTGGGATCCAAGAATTACATCATTCAGCATGTGTCATACTGTGAAACACAGTGTGGACACAAAAGGTTGACTTATAATCATCTAAAAATGTTTTATTTATCGTATTTGACTTAAGACCTGTTGTTCCAAGGATGCCAAACTCGTTTATGTTTGATGATGGCTTAATCAATCAAATTAAAGCGATTCAATATCAAATAGTTACAGTCGAAAATTTAATTAATAATCGATTGAAAAATGAAACGAAGAATCAAAATCAATTAAAATTTCATTCACTAACATTTCTTGATCCGTATGGTAATGAAATAGTTAATAAACGTATGGATCATGAATTGATCAATAAAACGGTCAAAATATATAAGAAAGATTATGTACCGAAATATTTGCAACGATGGATACAAATTGGCAAGATAGATCATGGTCATATTTCATCAATAGAGGAATCTGAGTCAATATGGGCTATGTCTAAATGTATAAGTAGTGATCAACTTATTGCGTATGGAGAAGTGTCTGTATGGTTGGGAAGTTACGATAATTCAACTTTTAATAAATATGTACTAAAAGTTGTATTAATGGATAATATGGACAAAATCAAAAGACAAATAGCTAACCTTGAACGCTTTACGTTTATGGAGCTAAAATCATGTATATTAGATCATCATGACGAATTAAACGAAAGAGATTGGAATGAAGGTAAAGTACTTAAATGGGAAGATACAATTATGTCAAGTGGATTATATCAAGAAAATTGTGTTTTAGTAGCAAAAATCAGGAATGAAAAGGTAACGTGCCACACCATTATTGTACATAAATAGTTCTCCTCTAATCTCAGTTAGTTCTGTTTTCTTTCACACAGACTTGGACTGCAACTTTGTCTTCTGAAGCTGGTTTGGAGCACCAAGGGAGAATCATTGATGATTACCATATCTTCGTTAAAACCTTGACTGGAAAGACCTGCAGCATAACTGTAGATTCAGCCATGGATTTGCTTGAAGTGAAAGAACTAATCTGTGCGAAGTCAGGTGTTCCTATTGATCAACTACGACTTATTTTTGATGGCCGTCAGCTAGAAAATGGAAGAAACCCAGGACGATGAAAACGAGATAAAAAATGACGCGTTTATGGCTCATTAATGAGTCATTAATGTAAGATTAATTAGCCGTTTTTATGTCGTTTAAGATAATTTTTATTTAGTTTTTATGCCATAAA